GAAAGAGCTCTTCAACTCTCCTTTCTAAGTGGATTTCATTAGCCCAAGCTCCTTGCCTTGGTTTTGCTTTAGAGGGGGAAGCCACCCTATCCAATTTGTAAGTTAATCAGACCCAATCAGTAAACAACTAAATCCACCAGCTCAGGAAAACGTCTCCATCATCAGCAGTTTACCAAAGACTCTCTGACAGAAAAGCTTCCTGATAGCCTAAAAATGGGGAATGTTAAGAAAACTATATTCACATATTTATAACTTGTGAAGACAAAAGTTGACATCATTGTATAAATCTGTAGTTTCTTCTAAAAGAAAGACTTAAAGCATAGTTATGTTTGACTACATAATGCCTTGAACTCTAAGTGGCAAATAATGTTGGGGGAAAAAGTGTGGCAAGCAATCATTATATACATGTAACCCTTGTCAGGCAGCAAAGCCCCAGAAGAAATATTCAGTAGCTACTACTGAAAGTTTCAGAAAAGTCTACAGTGCAAATGTGAAGTACCTGGCAGCACTTTAATCCACTACACCACAGTACCAGTTTAATTTCATAATCACTGGAGCAAGTGCCAGAAACTTTTAGAAGTCATGTGACAGCTGAGGCTAGGTATAAAAATCAAAGTTGAACATCAGGAATTAATCAGAGACAGAGTCTGAAGAGAGATGCAGTGTCTCTGGTTAGCCCAACTGATGCAGAGGGCAGGACATAAGGTGACCAGCTTCTCAGCACAAGTGGGGCTTTCTTCTAGATCCATTACCTCTCCCATCACTGCAGGCCAGCATGGCTGCAAAGATGCAAAGAGGGCAGTAACCAACCAATAAAGAATTGCCCCTTCTAAAAATCTCCATCGTTGGTACTCTAAATCAATTTCATGCTATAACCTGAAATTTCTTTAAACTAAGGTCTGTCCAACTTGTTCAGCTGTCCTGAGACACAGCTACTGCTTCTTGAAGGCCACAAATGTTTTGAGCTAACTGTCCCTGAGGCAAGTCAGTGTAGGAACAGCTTTGCAAAGTGTTTAAAAATAGCACAAGGGAGTCTTTGTAGGATACACAGCAGAATCCAGAGCTCAAAAGGTTGTTTAATATGCATGAGAGGGTTAGCTGTCTGTGAGATTGTCCTCTTGGATATGGAACTAAACTACTTGCCCCTGCAAAACACTGCACAGTCAGAGCAAACCATGCAAATATTAGTTTTGTTTCCTTTTCCCACTGAAAGCAATGGACATGTTTATTGCATTTCCAAGATAAGATTTAATAACAGTCCTCATCAAAACCCAAATTCTACCAGGCATCAACTTTGGATTATTAAAGGGCTTTCAAAAGGGACCATTATTTTTGAGCAAAATTATTTTCTGTTTTGAAATTAGCAAGTAATGCTCTAATTTGCCTTGTCCTATCCTGCAATACAACTCGTATCACTTGCCAAAAGTATCACAGCAGCCAGTATAAAGCACAGGAACTCAAAATTCCGTTGCATGTTTATTTCAAAAATTACTTAACCTGCAAAGTGGCACGAGAAAGTAAGACCTGTCATGATATTAACACAGTACCTCTTTCATGTACTGATTATATAAGGCTTCTGCAGATTCCAAGTAAGTCTGTGCAGTTTCAATTCTATCCCTTTGAGACCACAGGATCCCCAGATTGTTCTAAAGGTAAGAGAAAAAAAAAAATAGTCACATTCCATTTACATCACAGGTTTTTTTCCAAACAATTGATCAGTCTTCATCCTTACATATGTGTGTGCTCTAATATAATGGATTTCAAAAAGCAGAAATCGTCCCCACACATTTCACCGAGTTGCTCGAAAGGGAGGGGGTTTTCACACAGCAAATTTCACATAAAAAATGCACCTCACAGTCCTCCTCTGTTTACTCTGCTAGATAAGGACTAGTGTGTTCAAATAATCAGCTTTTTCCACAGAGTATGTTCTGCATCCAATTCATGCAGCTTTTACATCACCTATAAATATCATAAAAAGAGACAAGAAATCAGAAATTTGTTAACATGACTCCATAGAAAAAAAAAATTAACAGGAAAAAAAATATGCTAGGAATGAATGCTTGTATATTTTCAATAATGGAAAGAGATGAAAAGCACCTCTGAGATCCAAAAGTTACAGACTACTGCCTTCAATATTAAGTTAAAGCAATGTACATAGCAACTTACTGCATCTGTGAACCCAACTTTGACAAAAAGTGCCTCTAATTTTATTAATAAGATGAAGGTGTTAATAATAATCTATGTCTGATGTGCTAATTTAAATCCTAGACAATGTTATTACAAAACTCAAGAGGGCTAAAAAAAAAAAAAACAAAAAAAACCCAAAACCTTCAAAATAATTAGAATGTGTAGCTGTATGTCAGCCCTGTGTCCCTTTCAACTGCATTCTACTATTTTTATAAGAAAGCACATCACATGTTGTTTATGAACTGAAACACTTCGCCAAAGGCCAAGCAGTGGAACAGACCAGATTCCATTAGACAGAGACTGGCAAACACAATCTTATGCAAAAAGCTCAGAAATCAGAAGTGGGGCTAAAGAAAGAGGCCCAGCAGGAAAAAGGAATGCTTCTTCCTACAAAATAGCAGTCCAGACATCCCAGAAGGTGGAGAAGTACTGCCACTGATGACAATCATTGCTTTTAAATCAGAAATGGTTTAAATTAAAGACTCAAGCCTATTCCAGCCCTTAGGACAGAGCGAGGTAACAGCAGACCCTTCACTGTGGGACCACAGCACAATACCTGCGTAACAAACTTTATCCTGCTGCTTCCTGAAAGCCCCAAAACAGCGAAGTCCAGGCAGACTTCGGGCTAATGGACAGAAGAGCTGCTTTCCAGCACAGAATCTCTGAGCCACACGTCCCCAGGAACATGTGGGAAGATGTCATCTTATTTCAGCTGGAGCCATCTCCTTACCTTACAAAGGGTAACAGATTTGTAGCACTGTATCCAAACCCTCACGCTGAAGGACAAGGAGCAGATGTAAGCTCGCTGTTTCAAACAACTCAGCTAATTCAAGCAGTGTAAGACAAGTCATCCTTTCACTCCCTCCTTTCCATGTCAGCCCACAATTCCTTGACAGTTTGATGAAGAACACTATGGAGCCTTCTCTAATTAGGACAGCTATTTTTGACAGAGATATCTAAATAACTGCTCTATTTCATGTACAGTCTAGAGTCAGATACCTAACGATACACCAGCTACCATGACAGAGTGATCAAGTAAAGGCCCTTCTGTGAATCTGCATGTAGCAAGAACTAATTTTGGTAACAGTATTCCCTTCTTCAGAATAAAGAGAAAATATTACTTCAAGCACCAATAAAACTGCATTTTGTCCCATCTGGGACAAAATACAATAGCTTAAAATATAACAGGCAATGCTGAAAACTAACAATTTACCGTTTCAGGATAATGCATCAATAAAAGCATCTCCCAACATCATTCTGACAACCAAGGAGCTAGGGAATCACAAATAAATTCTGGACGTAGTGAGGTCGTCTTCTAATTTTTTCTTGCATTTGTAAGCTCTTACAAGTTTTGTCTCAGTCTGTCCAGAAGAGTGTTGCCTGGAAAGGCTGAGCTGGAACAGAGACTAGACAGAGCAAAAGGAATAAAACTGGTATTTATTGAAAGGATCCACCCTGGGCAGTGCAAGAGCCTGGCTGGGGCTACACCCAAATCAAATCCAAGCTGGATCCCGATCACGAGTTTTTACACTTTTATAAGTTTTGGTTAATCTCCATATTGGGGTCAATTATCCGAGCACAGCCCCAGGCTATGGAGTCTCAGTCCCCTGGCTTGTCCCCTTTCCCTCACCGTTGTTTCTGCTTTTTGGGTACCAGCTGTCCTTGATTCTCTATCTAGAAAGCAATTGTTTTGTCTAACTACACTGGGAAGAGACCTTGCTAACACTTAATATGAAGTTTCAGAGTTACACACTATCAGCAGATTCTGAAAAATATAAAAGCTAAAACCCAAAGCATCAAGAGCACGCTGCTCTGCCAACACCCAGTTTCAATGAGAACATATTTTAGATGCTCTGCAAGCCCAGAGGCAGCAGCGGGCGGCTCAAAACAGAAAAGCCCCCCTTCCAACAGCCACCACCTGTGAACGATTCCTCCCAGCAAGAACCGAACGCCACGGTTGCCGCGTTTATTACGGTTAAACGAGCAGCACCTGTCAGGACGGGGGAGCGCCCCGGATCTCTTGGCAGCCCATTGCAGAGAGCAGCCGGCACAGCCCGCACACACAAGGCCCCGCTCCACCCCACGGACGCGCCTGCGGCCTCCCGAGCCCACCTGGGCCTGGATGTAGAGGGACACGCAGTCCGGGGAGAGGCGGTGCGGCTCCAGGAGCTGCGTGCAGCGCTGCAGGTGCTCCTCTCCGGCCGACAGCTCCTCGGTGTCCGTGTGGTTGACGCCCAGCTCGTACTCCAGCACGGCCCGCCGCACGGCCAGCACCGCCTCGCCGCCCTCCTCGGCGGCGCTCAGCAGCTGCTTCACCTCCTGCAGCAGCGCCCGGGCGCTGTACTTGGAGCGGTACGGCTCCGTCTCGGGGTCCTTGAGGGACTCCACGGCCGAGAGGGTGCGGGCGGCGCGGAACTTCTCGCACACCGCGGGCCACCCTCCGCCCGCCGCCGCCGCCGCCATCTTCCCCCGCGCGCCCGGCCCCGCCCCGCGCAGCCTAAGGCGCGCGCGCCAGGCCCCGCCCCCGGCCCCGGCCCCGCCCCTCAGCGGCGCCGTGAGGGAGCCGCGAACGGGAGCGCCCCGAAGGACAGCGCAGATCGGTGCCCAGCGGGTTGACGTCCAGTTTTTCCGAAAAACATTTATTCTACAACCCGATTTTTTAACGCTGCTGAAGACGCAAGGCGCGGTGGCTGTCCATGGCGGGATGAATTCTGTTCCCTCGCAGCGCTGAGGTTCCAGGCTGGGTCACAGATGCCCTTACGGGCAGCAGCTACTTTGCTGAGCAGAAAAAAACATCTCCCAAAACACCCCAGTCATTTCACAAACATGATTTTCCCTCAAAGACAGGCTGCTTTATCAAAGAATAAAGACAAAGAGGAGTGTCTAACAGACTTTTACTGTCTAATAAAATTCAGTTCAGTCCTGTTATCTGTAGCACAGGTTAATGAAGTGCTCTGTTAAAGTCCCCGATTTCCATTCTTGGACCAGCTGTTTCTCTTGAAGTTTCCTTGCCTGCTGTTTCCGAACCTGGAGAACCCTCGTCCTGCCTCCTGGGGAAATTCCTCCAGCTCGGGCAACTCACTGGCCACGGCCAGCTGCCAGCGCCGCGTGTCCCTCCACCGCTCCTGAAACAAGAGCCATGGAACCAGGCTTTATGTGATGGCTCCACATCCATCACAGAAAGGCACCTGCAGCATCAGAACCAACACTGAACGAATAGGCTTTGTTCCCAGACAAACCCCACCCCTGCCAAAACAAACCATTAGATCCCCCCTGGCAGACACGCACAGTCCTGTGGCAAAGGATAAACAAGCACAAGGGACAAGAGTGAAGTCGACAGAAAACTGGTGAACTCTCAAATACACCTGAGAGGCCAAAAAACCTAGAATTTTGTTTAATGAAATCAGGTAATATCATGGGAATGAGAAGAGGCATGCAGGGTATTTTCTAACGACTCTGCTGTGTTCTTTCTAATCACTCTGTTGCCTATGCAAAATCTTTATTAAACCACAACCTCCCAAACCACCTCACACTCAATCTTACACAGCAGTTGTTTTTCAAATCACCAGGTTTTAAAGCCAGCTCTGGCTACACAAACATACCTGTATATTACTCAGTTCATCCATAGGGATATCAAAGCACACGCCCTAACAAAACAAAAAAAGAAAAGGCACAAATTTACAAGAAAAGAATAAATAACCAATATTTATTATTACCAATAACCAATACCACTACATAGATATGTCTGATGCTTTTTTTTTAAGGAGGCCATCCCTGCATTATCATTTAGGAGTAATGTCTCTAATAAGTCTTTTAAAACACTCAACTAATATCAACTAATATTTTTTTTCCAATAGCATAGGCATAAACAGCATACTCAGGATGGTTGCCATCTTGACAGAAATGAGACTGAGCAGGGAGAGTGCAGTACCAACATTCTGTTCTTCAGAACTCCAGCCTCAATCCCTGCACAAACTGGCTACATGTGAACACACACAAAGCCCCAGATCCCTTCACTCCCAAGGCTGAGCCATCTTACCATCTTCCCCTTGAGGAAACGTATTGCAGACACTTTGTTATCGATCTCCTCCCCAAGCTGCTCCTTCAGCCCCCGCCAGGCATAGCCCATGGTGTGCATCTCTACTGAACATTTCAACACCATGGTCACAAGGCCCTGTAGGAAACAGGGAAAAATCTTTAACAAGGCTAAATTTGTACTGCTAGAAAACATTTAAAAAAAAAAAAAACCCAAACTGATACAAGAGCCACAGTTCAATCACACGGTATGTCCAAAATTGTGTTACCACACAATGACCTGGGCCACATTCCTCCCTAAATGCATTAAAAAAAAAAAGAAGTGCTGTAGTTTTCTCCAGCCAAGATCTCTTTGAGATCAGGCAATGCCATGCTATATGTGCAGCATGACAAATGTAGAAGATTCTTGGTAAGGGGGGAAACTACAATAGCATGAACCAATCTATTTGCTTGTAAAATGTCACTAAACTCTCTTAAGAGCATCAAAGTCTGCCATCACTTCAGTCTCTGGAGAAATTATTTCAATTTTCATCACAACAAAATTTACTGATTTCAAGTTTCTCCTGGGAAGAGCCGATTTCATCTAAGGAACAAGCAACACAGCAGAAGCCTGGGGGTAACAGCTATTGAGAAACCCAGGAAAAAGCCTGGGAAGGAGATGCCACACACAGGGCCTGGACACAAGCAATTCATGCATCCATCCTTGCTACCAGGGGTGCATCATTACTTACAGCTGTGGAGTTGAGCAGGGAGCGCTGCTGGATGTGAGCTGCCCCAGAAATGTGTGCCAGGGCTGCAGCCAGGGCAGCCACAGCCCCCTTCTCATCTATCAGCTCTTCAGCTGATTTCCTGAAGTAGTCTACTGCAGAGGGAGGAACGGCCTCCAGCAACCTACACAGTTACAAGATGGGTTTAAAGAGATAAGAAAAGGCCATTGTGCAGTGCAGCCATGTTTAAGGCATACTCTAAATTGGTTATTTCTGAAAAAGGCAGAGGGGCAAGAAGATAGGACACTAAGAACAGCTACTTCTGTAATGCTATTTCTGGTACAACAGCTCCCCTCATCATTTTTCAGTACACAGTGAACCCAACACCATGCCCATCATCTGCTTTATGCTGGTCAAATCCTTGCTAATTACAATCATCTGCTTCAAAGCAATTTCCACCACAGGGGCAGCAAATCTAAACAGAGCTGCATGGAATAAAAGCCCACAACCCTCGGAAATAATAAAATGAAACACAAGCCAGGGCTAAAACACCCTCACTACTGCAGAGTAACTCCTCATTATACCAAGTATTGCTTTTGGCACACTGCTTCCAACCACATCGTCTGAGCAGACAAAATCAGTTTCCCCTCATGACAGTAATTCCCTCTTCTGTCACTCATTTCTGATTTTATAAACAAAGGTTAATTTTTTGCAAAAACTTAGAGAACATTATGTTCTAGGAAAAGGTCTACGTTCAGTACACAGAGATTTACTGATACCATCTTATGTTGTCTATACACAAAGCAGCTGACTGCAACACAGGCAAAGCCATGCTCACACGCAGGCCTGATCCCTTAAAACTTTGCATTGACCTCTAAGCATCTAGAGCAACAACATCTCTAAACCTCTTTTAAGAGCAGACAAATAAACTTACTTTTTGGCATCACTACTTGAAGCTTTAATTACATCCATAGCAGAGGGAACGCCTACACGCTTAAAGGTAATACCCTGAAATCAAGAAAACAAATTAAAGGTATTTTCAGCAGTCTACAATTCAATCCTGTCTAAATCACACTACTGAGATCTCTACTTACAGTTTGCATGATCAACATACTCTTTACTAAATCAATTCTAAAGCTAAAGTAAAGCTTTTAAGTTCCCAGCTTTGTTAATCTGGAGCTACTTTACTCCAATGTACATGCAGACTGTGATGCAAGGCACGGTCTGCCTCGTGCATTCCTGTGCCTGCTGACATGCAGAGAGGATTGCCAGCATGGGAAAACTCAAGAACAGAAACATTTACAAACACCGAATATCAGCACTTTAGGCCTACTGGTCTATGGGACTGGAAAGTCCCATTCTGGACTCAGCAATCCAAGTGTAAGAGTGGCAGGGTCCTTTTAGGAGCTGATGCATTTCCTGAAGCAGAGCTCTGGGGTACAACTCACCGCTTTGTGCTCCACTTGTTTCAGAAGATCTTCCTCTCTTCTCTGAAACAAACAAATGCAGACGCCGGTGCGGCCAGCTCGACCCGTGCGGCCAGAACGATGGATGTAGGAATCAACATCCTTCCCAAATTCACATCAACACAGAAAACCTTCTGTTATTTAAACTGCTGACATTTCACATTAAACACAAGCTAAATTCAAACTCAGAAGCCTAAGGAGTGACACATTATGTGTTTATACCCAAACCTGTAAATACACATAAACCACTCAGGTTTGTATGTGCTCCCCACCACCCAAAGTATGCTGCTCAGTTTTAACCAACACTGCTGACAGACATCTTAATTTTTTTTTAAATAAAAAGCCCCACTGGAGTTTTGAAATATGAAAAAGGCAGCAGAAATATTTTAGAATGTTTATGAAACTCAGCAACATTCAGAAAGAATTCAGAAAAGTTGCACAATGTCAAAACCCATCTTATGGGTTTCCAGAGTAAACAAAACCAAAGACTTTAATCAAAGCTCAAACTGTAACAACTATGAAATTTTAGGCCTGGCATTTACAAAAAATTTACTTAATTTGTGAATTGGAACAGAACATACTTCTGATGAAACAGAGAACCCACGATTCTGGCTCAAAAAAAAAAAAAGTTAGTACAATTTAGTTTCCTCTAATAACTTACTCTTGGTGGTGAGCACTGTATAACAAGGTCAACCTCAGGAATATCCAAACCACGGGCAGCTACATTTGTTGCAATCAGCACTTCAAACACACCATTTCTGAAGCCTTTTAATGTAATTTCTCTCTGTTTCTGTGGAATGTCACCATGCAAGGACTGGGCATCCTGTCAGTGCAACAAGCCATTAATATGACATTAAATGGGAGTCTAGGCTGCAGCATTTAAAGATTAACTGCAAACCCCAAAACAATGTGCAGAGCAACAGAAAATAATGACATAGCTGATACTAAAGGAATATAAAGCATCCTACTTTGTTTCATCTTCCTCTGGGATTTACTGGCCAAGAGGCAGAAATTATTGCTGCAAGTTTTTAATGTGGATGGTATATGAGATTTCTCTTATACTAGGCACACCATGTATTCCCACCACTGCTCACTCTCCATAAATCAGCATTTAATATCAAATAGGATTTTCTCTGAAAAATATGCAGCACTTTTCCTCACATTCAGAAAAAGAGCAGTAATTCAAGCAAGCACAGAAGACCTGCTCAGTAGATCACCTGTGTTCCAAAAAAACTCTTGGCAAACCTCCCAAGGGCTACAAGACATTTCATTCTCCCATATTAGTTGGATTTTCCTCAATGACTGTTCGAAGACCAAATGCCATTAAGAGATGGGAATCCAAAAAGCACACTAATATAAGATGGGACATGTCCACTAGCCTAACTTCTGTTTCTTACAATTATTATCTCCTGGTTATTCAGAATAGGCTGTGTATTTCCTATTGATCTGTGTCCTGCACTATTTTAAAGTCAAAGGAATAAATTCATAATCCCTGGTCAAGAGGATATTTTACCTTCAAAGTTCCATTTTTACAAACAGCTTTCACAAGTCTTAAAACCACCCAGAGAAACAATTTTCTCCACACAGTTGCAGCCTATTTCAGGACATTCAACCCCTGGCTGTCCCAGCCACTGCTCCCTGCTCAGCCCTGGTACCTGTTTGAGAGAAGCATTCATAGCCAACTCATTTGCCTCCCTTTTGGTCTCACAAAAGACAATGGTCCGCCCACGGCTGCCACTGTAGACCTGAATGATGTCCCCAAGAACTCCTGCTCGCTGAGATGAGCGACACTGTATAGCCAAGTGCTGTTTGGGAAAGAAACAAGAAACCTATGGTAAATCTAAGCCACACACAGGACAAAATGAACAAAAAAAAAAAAAGCAATTTAATTTTTTTAAGCTTGCAAATGACAGCTCCCCACATGAAAGCTTTGCCTACAAAAACTATGTGAAAAGCCATTCCATACCCCCATTTATAAAGTCAATGCATAACCCATTTGATCAAGGCCACTTGCTCTGAGGACCTGCACTGCTCTACAGCAGAATAACTCACTTCCACAGTTGTGGCTGTCCTTTGAGTCTTCTTTCCAATCAGGTCAATCTGTTCATACTCATCTCTCATGTATTTTTTTGCTACATCATAAACCCATCGTGGACAAGTTGCAGAAAACAGCAGGGTCTGTGGGTTGTTCTCGGAGCCTGGAAGGAAAGGCCATCAACTTCAGACATCTCAACAGACCATGACACTTGAGAACTGATAAAAAAGCAAGAGCTGCTCTCACACTGACAGCTTTCTATGTGCACTAAGTCTGTACAAAGTGTGAAGAAACACTTGCAGCCATCAGCTTTTTGTGGCTTTCAAAGCCACAGTGATTGCTCTTAGGAATCGTTGAGATTTCTATTCCAAGTAATTCAAGCCTTTCCAAAAATTATGGCATTAGTGAAATGTGGCAAGGAGTTTCACACATTAAAATAACCTCCTTCTGCACCGTACCTGGTACCTGACAGCTTTGCTAAACACCCACTACATCAGAAAAGAGCAAACACGCCCTAGCTGTCAGCTCTGTGTGGTGACAAGTGTACAGACAGACCATAACCCTAACCCTCTGCTCGTCACCTCTGTCAGGATGAGGAACACTAGGGCTTAGGGAGTTGAGTTTGCTGCTTTTTTCCCTTTTTTTCGTTCATTCCAGAGATGCCACTCCAGCACTTCAGCCTTCTGTCACCTCTCTTTGAACCTTTTCCAATTCTACCTTGTCCTTTTCTAGCATCACACAAAGAATTTAAGTTAAGAGGTGCACCAGGAATTCTTAAAGTGGCATAACTGTGTTCTCTGCATTGTCCCCTATTCCTCTCCTGAGGTCTGAATTCACCTTTCTTATAGGAGGATCCCAAGATTTCTTCCACTTGTTCAGCAAAGCCCATGTCTAACATATGATCCACTTCATCCAAAACCACATGCTTCACGTGGGACAGCTCCAGCTTGCTGTTCTGAATGTGGTCTTTGATCCGACCAGGAGTCCCCACTAGAATATCGATGCCACTTTTAAGGAGATCAACTGGAAGACAAAGAAACAAAGACAGTGTCAGACTGCTAAGAGACAGCACGACAGAAAGTTAGCAGTACACAGCAATACTTCTTATTTTAGAAGCAAAAAGCTGCTGCCCTTTAACTTCAGAATAAAGCACAACATCCAAAGGTAACAGACACAGGAGTTAATTGCAGTCCTAGTTGCTCTGTCAGGAGTATCAGCCAAACTTCACTAAAGTTACAGGGAAATACACCAAATTCCCAAGAAACAGTCAGCTGACATTAGAAACCTTCAGAGCTTTACTACATGAGAACATTTCAGTTTTCCAGCTCAACTTTGTCACAGCTATCTCTGGAGACAGAGCCACAGGTACATACATAGTTCTCCCCTTTCTGTGGACTGTCACCTAGTCCTGGTCTATGCCCACGCGAAAACACAATAAAGAAGAAGTTAACAGGACTAGACACTTCACAGAACTACAACTATTCTTTTCCATAAAGATTTATTGGAACTCAATTCAACCCAGTCTGTGTGCTTCCTTTGAAACCCACACCATTTGAGTTCCTGACTGAACTCAAAGTCTGAGGGGGCAAAAAGCCTATTTTTACTTATGGAGTGCATTTGGAGAAAGTCAGCTCCAATCCATTAGTCATTCCTTAGCAGTTACTTACGCTGTTCTTTATATGGAGTTCCTCCATAAAAACAAGCAATTGACAGCTTCTTTGTGAAATTCTTGAAGTCTTTGGCTACCTGAATGGCCAATTCTCTGGTTGGAACAAGAACCAGCACCTGAAGGGAGAGAAAAACATACAAAAATGCAGCTGTGCTTGGGAGAAGGTGAAGGAGAAAAGAGTTTACTTCATTTCAAACACCTTGCATTCCCATCTTTATTCTACACTTGTTGCATAGTGCCCACAGCTTCCCACTATCCCAGCAATATTAACATTCCCTGCCTCCTGGAGCCTGTACAAGGAGCCTCAGAGCCAGCAAGAGGAACAAGGCAAAGTGCTACAAGATAAACGAGAACAGAACAGTAATTTTCTTTCTTGTGTTAAAAGTCAGATAAAAGACACTTCAACAACATTAACGAGGACAAGGAAGATGCAGCTCAGCATTCAAGGGTAGGAACAGTCACTAAATCTAGTGTAGTAAGATTTTAAAAGATACATAGCGTGAGGTACTCCAGCCACACATCCTTCCTTTCTCCAGCAACCTGCCTTCCTCCAGAATCTACTCTATCCCAAAAAATTTTATTAGAGAATGAACCAATAAAACAAAGAGTTGAATTAATTTCTTAAAATCTTTCAGCCAGTAAGATTTTCAAATTTACATCGCTTTTACAGTTAATAAAACAAAAAGATTAAGCAGGCAACAAATACGCTGACTATACACAGTTCTGCAGTCTAATGATACATATACACTGCACTGCATGGGATCAGGCATCTAATCACTGGCATCTGGTTACCAATTTCCTCTCTGGTAAACATCACTTTTATCTCTTGAGACAGACATGAGAGGGAAGAAAAAAACAAACACAAAAGCCTTCAGTTATCACCAATTTACAGGAAAAAACAAGCTCAGCGAATGGAGTCAAGTCCAGGGACTCAAACATCACCTCAGAAGAGGCAGAGGAGTGAATGCTACGTGCCCAAATGTCTAGGAGTTCCCTAGACAGTGCTGCAGTGCCCTGTTTGCCAAACACACTCACAGGGGACCCCAAACACAAAACGTGTCCTCACTGTGATGCTACAAAACTCTGTCACGCTCTATCTCCTGACCTGAACAAAGTATTCAGCATTACAAAAACCTGTAAAGGACAAAGAAGTCCCCAACGAAAAACCCCACAGCAACAGTGTAAAATCACTTTCAAAACCTGCCATGCTCTTAAGGTTTTGGTGTAAACACTTAAGTGTAAATTACTTTTGGTGCACGGCCTCTTCTCCCATCCTGTGAGACACTCTGAAGTTTTTCAATCAGTGGAAGAGCAAAGGAAAGGGTTTTCCCAGTTCCTGTTCGAGCTTGAGCAATTAAGTCTTTACCATCGTATATGGGCTGGAAAGTCTTCACTTGCACAGGGAACAGGTATTTCACACCTCGAGCTGCAAGATAATTGAAAGAGGTTTCACTAAAAGGTGAACTAACAATTAGAAGCCTTCATCTATAAATTGCCCAGATATGAAGGGCACACCACCTCAAATCCTGTACACAACAGAAATTGCAACTTAGAAGAAAACCATGTATCTTTGTGTTTTATTCCTACCCACGGGGTGAGTGTTGAGTATCCATGATGAAATACAGTCTTCTTTGTCATGTACAGTTTAACACAATAGGAGAGAACGAAAAAAAACCCAGTGTGTTTTTTCTGATACAGCTCAAGATTTGTGGTAGCTGGGTTTTGAAGGCAAGAAGGTGATGGAATTTGTTTCAAAACATTCTAAGACTTCAAAGAGATTTTGCACAGTGGAAGTGAAACGACCCATCCAAAAGAAACTTCAGAGCAAGGAAAACACAAAGCAGCAGGGAGAAAATTTTCTGACGAACAAGAATTGCACATCTACCCAACACAGGGGACAAGAACCCTGCAGCAATTGCTTCCTCAACAAAACTAATCACAAAGAGATATGAAAATGCCCCAAACTATGAGAATAACCCTAGACAATCTGTTCACACAAGGCAAACAGTTTTCATATACAAAACTCCATTAGGTTTGTCTAAGAAGCAATATTGTAGACGGCAGACATAGAACAGAAGTAAACATACACAAAATAATTATATAAAGAGTGATGCTAATGAGAAATGTGTCTCTAGAACGTGTATCTAGGAATAACCACTCTGTGAAGAATAATCTCATCCTAAGGCATCTGAAACGGAAAACTTTTTTCTACTAACAACAGCAGATTCTCTGAATCCACAGTGACTGGTTATGTCATTCTTACCATACAAATGTGATACAAATGTAATACAATTTAGGACTACTTACCTTTGGCTTATGCAGGTAACAGAGCCCAATTCTGACCACACATTTACAGAAATGTCTTTTAGCACATGAACTAACCTGTGAGAAGTTTGATAGTGTTTTGTGAGAGAGGAAAATTAGAGAAGGCGCCTTCTTTTGCTTCTTCTGTCAGCTCCTAATAGGATAAAAAAAAAAAAACAAAAAAGACTAAGTAGCCTTCCAAGGTGAGCACAGAACATACCCTACACAGTCACTCAATAAAAGCCATACATTTGCTTTACAACCACAATTTAACCAGACATTTCCTTCCCATTAAATGAAAAAGAAAATCCTTGTGATGTAGGCACTTGTACATACATGATTGATAAGTCAGGAAATAGAAACTATTTGTTAAAAATCTTAAGAGTCCACTGAAACCATGAGAGAACTGTTTTTCACAACAAAACATATCTGGTGTCACAACTCACTGTGCAAAGCAGAATTTTCCCTCTGGAAGACTCCTATGTGGTACACCATACAACGAGCTTTGAACTTTACACGAGTAAATACTTAAAACACAAAATTTGGCTTTTACTTCAGAGATCCAGTAGGTCACATCATTACACCTGATGTACAAAAGGCACTCTCTTGATTCATATTCCCACTTTAGACACAAAACTACTGACAGAAATGCCTACACAGGGCCTGCCTCCTTGCACGTTTGTGTGAGAACTGGGAATTAATGAGCATAACCGTGGCTTTCCATCACAGAACACTTTGCCAAGACTTCCTCAAAGGTGCTGCCACCAGTGAAAGCGCCATCACAGCACAAAGCACGGCACATTTCTGGCACGGTGGCTGCCTGAGCAGCAGGGAGAAACCCTTGTGCTGCGGGACACAGACAAGCTGCGACACGAAGAGCAGCACACATGGAAACCGCTCCCCTAGCCAGCCGCCCTCCCTGCAGGAATTCACCGGGAGGGGGAAGCACGTGGAGAGCAGCTCCCACGTGTTGGTGCCGGGCGGGAAGGAGCGGGATGAGAGGCGGGATGCCCGGCATTCCCCACGCCCAGGACCAAGCGCATCCAAGGCAGACAGCGGCAAAAAGCGCCTACGACAGATGCCTCGTGCTCCCACACTGTTTCGCAGCTCAAGTCTCCACACAGCGTACTATTAATCCCGCTAATTAGTAGCGGAACGTTAATTAACCAAGACTTCGCTAGCAGAGCATCCCTACCTCGGCATCGCTGTCCTGCTCTCCGGCAGCCGGGGATGTCACGCTTCCGCTCACAGCGGAGGATGATTTCACCACGTGCTGGGACACGTCGCTCTCTCCTACCAAACCATTGCTCTTCTCCTTGTCTTTTTTCGTCTTCTTGGCCACGGGGGGCTCCAAGTCGCCATCCCCCAGCCCGCTCTCCTCGGGCTGCGCCTGCTCGGCCTCGGCCTTACCGCGCCGCTTCGCCTTTACCTGCCGCTTCACCTTCATCTCCGGCGTCTCCTCCTGCAGCGGGAAAGCCGGGGTCACACGGAGGAAGGGAAAGCCGCGGTCACACGGAGGGAACCCCTCCCCGCCCAGGTTGAAGCCCCCCAAGCCCGTATAAAATGGCCGCACCCGCGGCCGCACGTGGCGCTCGCACCTTGACCTTCCTCCGGCGGCCGCGCCGCAGCGACTCGGCGGCGGCCGGTGCCTGGGGCTCGGCGGGGCTGTGCTCGGGCTCGGCGGTGGGCATGGCTGTCGGCTGCTCCCCGCGCAGCTGCTCGGCGGCCGCGCTGCTACCACCAGCGCCGGGGCCGGTCTCGGTGCGGCGGCCCCAGGAGACGCGCCCCGCCCCGGCGCGCAGGAAGTGAGGCGGGCGGGCCGGCCCCGCCGCCAGCAGCAGCAGCGGGCCCGCCCCGGCTCCGCACAGCCCGCACAGCCACCGCCCGCCGCCGCTCGCCGGCACCGCCGCCGCTGCCGCCGCCCGCGCCGCGGGGAGCCCGAGCCGCGCCGCCCGAGCCCAGCCGGCCCCCATGCAGATGCAGCCGCCGCGCCCGCGCCGCCCCAGCCCGCCCCTTCCGCCGCAACGCCCCCCGAGCCTGCCGTCAGCTCCTCCGCCGCCGTGAGCTCCTCACGGAGCCCTCACGGTCCGCTACACTCCTGCCACGGACCTCCCCTCGTTCCCCGGTGTGCGACAAGCCAACAGCGACACGCTCGAGTGTTGAGTTCCGAGCTGCGCAAGCCCGGCTGCTCGGCGGTGCCGGACAAGTGTAGCACCGCCGCTACATCTGTGCACGGTTGTGCTGCATTTGTGGAGCTCGGGCTTCCGGCGCCATCACTGATGCGAGGAAATTCTGAGCTAGGAATTTCCCTAGGCTACAAATTTTCAGGGCTAGGAATGTGCCCAGCACAGCCCGTCTATCAGGATTTTCCATGCGATTAAAGTAATCCCAGCTAACTTCTCCACATGCTCAGGAGAAGGGTCTTGACCTCCTAGGTAGGCATAGCTGTGATTTTTAGCTCTAATACTAAAACATAGTTCACCCATAGGCTACGTGGACCTTGAGTTTTTTGGCAACCCAACAATGTATACAGACATACCTCAAAATACTGATTTACTTCATCCTTAAAGCTTGTCAGCTCCAGGATGTCCTTGAGTAAGGACTACTACCCGTTCCACTGATCAGGCTTGAAAATACACCAAGATCTTACATTGAAGAGCATCCTTACCTGTGATAATCTCGACATATTGCACATTTTGCAACACACTCATGGGGTTATGGGTCTCCCTCAGGGGGCTTCTTCCCTTCGTGCTTTGAAAACTGCCTTTCCCATCCTCATTTTATAAAGAGTCACAATTTGGGACAGAAACTAAAAACTAGTAAGTTTTAGGGAAAAGAGAAAATTCATCATTACAAATCCACAAAATAAAAACCAATCGGGTTTTTCTTTCAAGGGCTCTGCTGCCACGCTCCCTAGTCTGGCACCTTCCCACATCTCCACCTGCAAAATACTGCTTCAACATACGTGACAACAGAATATGAAGTTGTAAAATAATATTTAATTTTATCAGAAAATGTACAGGTTTGAGCAGCAATTCAGATCTATGTATTATACAGTGAACCAGGCTACAGTTTTGAACGCAACAGACATATTATGGAAAGATTCAAAGAGCAATATGAGAAACAAAAGAAACAATTCTTTTTTTTTCTTGCAGATTTTTTGGGTTTTTTTATTTTGCACTCTTTTTTAAAATGAACAGAACCTTGTTTATGAGCAAAGTAGTACTGACAAAAAAAAATATCTTAATGAAGTATTTTCCCCAATGGTACAAACACACAGAAACAGCCTAGTGTAATGTAATATAAAATACTTCAGTCCCGTTTTTTCTCACTTCTGGATTGTTGAAGTTAATGTTCAAACGCTCTGCTGAAACTTCGTTTCTGGCCTCTGCTCCTGAATCTGTTCCTCCCAGAGCCACCACGCCGACCGTTCCTGGAGCTGGAGAAGCTTCGGCCGTTTCCTCCACCACTGCCTCCTCCTCCTCCTCCTCCTCCTCCTCCTCCTCCTCGTATGGATTCTACCAACTCGGGCAACTCAGTGGCCACACACAAACGCCAATGTTTTGAATCTTCCCACCTTGCCTATTGGAATGAAGTCAGACATAGAACGTTAAATGCTAGGAATACAAACACAGGGTATGTACTAATTATTAAATCTGCTCAACTGAAAAGGTAAAATATGAGATTCAAGCTTCTAACTGAAGGGATCAATAATTTTGGTGTGGTAATGCTAATGGCTACCAAGCAAAAATCTGAATTCACTTTACTGTGGAGAGAATTCAGGGTGAAAACAGGAGGTGGGGAATAGAGAAAAGGGGAATAAAGCTTGCTGCCTACAAAGATGAATCCAGCACCACTTTTCTCAGTGCAAAAGTTTCAAGTTACAGACTTCTGGTCACAGGGGAATGCCTTAAAAAAGAAACACTGTGAGCTTGTTCTGTTCTTCAATTCCTTCCAAGCCATCCCTTTTGCCACTAGGAAAGGCAGGATAAAGTAATGTTTTGAGTCTAACCCAGTCCAGCCAGTTTCATCTTCAGCCTGCTGTACCCAGAATTTGCAATGAACGTACCTCTATTTCTTTTTGGTCTGCCACAGGAACATCAAAGCACACGCCCTAAAAAGAAAGAGTAAATTTTAATGCATACAAGGTAAGCGTTTTAAATGACTGCAACTAAAAACAACAAAGCCCAAAAATCTACACCTGAGAGGCAGGCACTATCAGAACTGACTGTCCTAAGAAATGCTTTTCTGTTTGGTCATTTAGGCAGAGTTAAACACACTTCATACATTGTACCTGTTCTGCTATCCCCATAGCCATGCATTATCCTACCTCCTGAGCATGTCAGCACGGCCCTAAGCACTAAAAAAACAGAGGCCCACCATCAACAGTGCCTGGAATAGAGAAAAAGACCAAATAGCTCCCCTGACAATTGCTAAGAAAAGGCTGCCACCAGAAAATCACAGTATCAAAGAAACAAAACCTTACCATTTTTCCCTTGAGGAAGCACATTCTGTTCACCTTCCGATCAATATCATCACCCAACACTTCTCGCAGCCTTCGCCGGGCATAGCTCATGTTGTTTATTTCTTCAGAGCAGCGAAGTATCATTGTAACAAATCCCTACAAAAGAAAGGGGCCAGAGGAATAGGCTTCAGCACAGACATCAGACAGGAGAAACCTACCAATTTACAGTTTATTCATTAAATCTTCAAGTAGGTACAGTTACAGGGCATCAAGTATCTTTACAGCCCCTATTTTGTTGCTTTTAAGAAAATCAGAGCAGTTCCCAGTGGCTTAAGTATAGTTCTCAAACAAAATGGTCAGGAGACAAATACTTCTCTATTCAGACAACACAGAGGTGTGTTGTTCCCCTCCAGGGTCAAGGCAAGCATTAAGCCATACCCCCTCCCTTACCACATCCGAGTTCAGCAGTGAGCGCTGTTCAATGGAAGTAGCCCCCGAAATATGGGCCAGAGCTGCAGCCAGAGCATTAACTGGTCCCTTTTCTTGTATTAGCAACTGAGCAGATTCTCTGAAATACTCAATAGCAGTCTGAGGAACAGAATCCAGGCACCTAAGTAGTTAAAACAAACAAAAAAAAAATTAACAACTTATACACCAGTTAGCTCTGGAATAGAAAAAAAGAAAAAAACAGTAGTCCAAGATTTCAACAGTGCTCAGAAAGTTCAAAGAGGCAGTAAAAAATAATTCAAACAGCCCTTCTGAACTAGGACGGAAGGAAGATGCAACAGGGCTAGAGTCCCCAAACACACCTCATGGCATCTTTGCTGGAAGCCTTTATAATGTCTGTTGCAGTAGGAACACCAACACGCTTGAATGTAATGCCCTGAAATTTAAAAGGCACAAGACAAATAAAAATTGCACATCATAAGTAATTTAGTTCTAAAGAAGCAGTATTGAACTCCAACACAACAAGCATTCGAGTCTGTAATTTTTCTTCTTATTTTCACCTTTTAATTTCCAATTTTTCCCAGTGAAAATTGTAAGGTTAAGCATACAGGAAAATGAGTAACACTTAGAAGGTGTTTATGTATCAGATCAATTGAAATGATTCAGTGACCTTAGACTGAAAACAGAAAACATTTTAGTACATTTCTGGGGAAAACAGTCCTACAAATTCTAAATTACTAGTTTTAGTGTGATAGATTTGGACTTAAGTACAAATCACAGAGCCTTAGTCTAAATGTAACACTGCTTTCTGTGCCAGGAATAAACCACCTCATCACAATCACATACTTAATTGTCGAGGAAACTCGACATATGGAACACTGCACAAAGTGCAAAAATGCAAGTAACAGCTCTCAGGAAAGCTGCACGTGTGCACATCACTGATCAGATGATAGCCAGGGTGAACACTACACTGAAATACTGAGAGTTTTTTCTCATTTCCACAAGGACAACCTCACTGGCATTTGCTGAAAAAGTGTGGGCGTTAGAATGTGCAGTGTTCTCCCTGCTCCACAGTAACTGACACTGCACCTTCCCTCCTCAAGGTACCCAAACCTCCTCTGGGTGCTTTATAAACTGCATTCTGTAACTGAACAGAGTCTTGCCATTAGAAGAAAACTGTACTTTACCGCTTTTTGTTCCACGTGTCTCAGCTGATACTCTTCCTTTCGCTGATAAAAGCAGATACAGATCCCAGTGCGCCCAGCTCGACCTGTGCGCCCAGAACGATGGATGTAGGACTCCACATCCTTCAGAAACAGAGATTAACAGAGCCTTAGGGGTTACCCAACATCACACTTAAGTCTGAACAATGCACAGTAACTGCATCATAGAGTTTAATTAGAAAACATTGTTTCTCTAATATCGACTAAATATGCTTTCCCATAACCATCTAAAAATCATGGCTTGAAAACCAGAGCTATGAGCATGAATCAACTTTTCTCTATGCTTCACCACACATTTGGACTGTGTGTACCTCCATAACAATCCCATTCACCCTCCTGCACATCCACTTGAGTGTGGTTACTGCAGCATTAATAGCACATTCACTGAAGCACTGCATTGTTTCTTTTAAATCCTCTTCATTTCAGCCACAGCCAATGCTCTCACGGCTGTGGTCCATACCTCACATTCACCCCATTCAAGAGAATCATTCTTCCCTATTGTTCCAGACTTGAAATCAGCACACCCAGATTCGAAGGGAAGGCTTTGAACAGCCTC